AAAAATAACAGAAACTTGAATGCTGTGTAATCAAAGTTTCAGTCGAGCAGTCGAAGTCAGACAGTCAAGCTGTGTGTTTTGTAGTGATAAAAAAACCTTAAAATAATCGAGGTGAGTTTTCATAAATATTATTTGAGTGCTACAATATAGGAATTAATTATTTTCGAAAAATATTATTGTTTTTGTATCTTCAATCATTTTTATTTTTACAGATGGATTTATCTGAACTAAACAACATCACTTCAATTTCAGAAAGGAAGAGTATATTGAAACTGAAGAATATACCTGTGGAAGAACCCCAGAAAATATTGTCACAAGCAAGTTTGGTCCAACAATTGTATTGGTGTTGGAGGATATCGTCACTTTTTTGCCGCGACGTATTACCGAAGAGTACAAACCATTATTGACTGAATACACTGGAGGAAAGTATTCGTTAGTTTACGAGGGAACTATCGACGTGGGAAAACCTCAGCCAGCTCATTCATGCAGAATAGTGGAAAAATAAAAGAGAGTGAGTGATAAATTTATTTTCTGAAATCCACATTGTTTTTCGTATTTGAAAAATGTGTAGAATAATCAAACAGTCAGACGATTTTTTACAACATATTGAAAGAGTTCGTAATTCAATTTTTGATAAAATTTCAAAAACAGAGATACTTATACAGATTTGGATGAAACGTTTGAATATCCAAATTAGTGTAGTAAGTAGTAGTTAAGATGTATTAGTAGTCACTGCTGTTTGTGACAGCTGGCTTGAAGATACCGAAAGTGACCTACATTACCGGCACCAGCATGGTGACGAATTCACATGGTTGTAACTGACTCTTTTTAATAAATTAGTTAAACAATGAATGAGGAATCTGTTTCAGTGTAAATATTTTGTTTGGTATAATACTACAATTAGAAAATGTAATAAAATCATCAAAGCAAATGCGTTACCTATCGGCTCATTAAGAAAATTACGAACTAATGTGGGACATTTCAAACATTTTCAAAAATTGATTTTAAATTACAAAAGACATGTTGGGTTGGGATTCAATTCACCAAGTAGAGTCAAATGGGAAAATGTTATGTCAGGTTTCAAGAGCCCGATTAGAACAGGGGTAATAATTAATTTATATCATAAGGATTTAGAACAATTTTTAGATTATGCATTAGAAGTTTTTGAACAGAAAATTAAAACTATTTTGAAAATTTTCACATTGATTAAAGTCAGTACTACATTTTGCGGAGAGTTTGAAAAAAAAATTATGGACGGAGATGACGAAATTCATGAAATTCTTGATTTCAAATATTTTAATACTAAAAATGCTGTTATAGATTCATCGACTGATTTATATGTTTGATTTGCTGAAAATATCAAAGATGAGATTTTCATGAAAATATCCGAGTTGTCCGAACGAGGTTCAGGAGTTGCGTTATCTGAAGTGATTTCATTAGAATTTAATATCATGTTTAGCCCTCTTGGCCCCGTCCAAGAGGGTTAAACACACCCCCGAAATGAAAAAAAACTTGAAGTATGAAGCAAACGAAAAGCCAATTTGAAATCAATANCCTCAATTGACCCTAGTAGTTCGACAAAATGCCTTGAATTCTTCACAAAAGACGATGTTTTTCCTTGTAATGGTTGTATTAAGGGAAGTAAAAATCTAGACAAGTTTTGAGTAGCCGAATCTCTGGAGCTGGAGCTTTCGATTGATGCAGTAGGGTCCCGTATGATCTTTGTGTATCGTCCCTTCTGAAGAACCTCTTTGATCTTCTGTTCGTAGAGAACGGTATCCTTTACCACAGTAGCGTTTCCTTTATCTGCAGGTAGGATCTTGATGGTGTTGTCTCTACGTAGGCCGTTCAGAGCTCTACGTTCTTCATTGCTGATGTTAGATGTTGGAACTGGTTCTCGATACAGCTGTTCTCTAATTTTCCATCTGAACTCTTCTGCCTCAGTCTGGTCAATAAGGGAACTGGTGGATTCCACTGCAGTAATTGTCTCCAAAGTGAGCACAGATGTTGGCGTAATGGTGAAATTTAGGTCTTTTCTCAACAAGGATTCCTCTATTCCCATGAGCGGGCGGGAACTCATGTTGATGACGTTGGCGGCTTCATAGTTGTCCTGTTTTTGGTCTGTATTTGGGCATTGTTTTCTCACTAACTTCCCCCACTTTCTGTTGTGGGTATTCTCCATGTCTTGGCAGATCTTCAAAGCACGTGCTTTCAATCTTGGCAAAGATTGGTCCATGATCATCTTCCAATGTCTCTCTTCTTATCTCTTCAAATCGTTATGTGGCATCCTGCAACAAAGTTGACCTCTTCCAACGGTGATAATTGATTTGAGACCTTATCAGTGCTCGGCTGGCGCGTTCCAATATGCGTTTAGCTTTCTCTCCTGGGATTGGCGATTTCAGCAGAAAACCTTTGGGGATGATTTTGTTGTCTCTCGCTCTGTACAGGAAACTGAGGTGAGTTTCTTCCTTTGTAAGCTTGACCATAGTCTTCTCATATCCTCGGAATAAGTCGCTGGTTCCGGGTCCGTACCGGAATGTTTCATGATGAATTTCACTAGTTTGGACTTCCATTGTCTACTATACTTATACAATGATTTGAAATCCCTGAAACAACTAAAAAAGAAGAATTGAAAATGAATAGCTGAAAATAACAATTATATTAACCAAAATAAACCTGAAATGAAATAATAGTGAAATAAAATAC